AGTCTCTACTATGGTTTCTGCAATATGGAACTGGGAAGGTAGAGTAAGCAGGCTTAAAACTAGTGAGCTTGAATATTTTCAACACTCTTTGGGATATAAAAACGATCTTTACTTGTCTGGTCAAGGCAAGTACAGGGTGTGAGATCCTGACTGAAACCAAACAAAGTGGTGCTTGGAATAGGATTTCTGGATTGGTAGTTTGTATATGAAAGGACTGCTTTCATGAAAGTCTCTTACTATCTTTAGGAATTGCTATCCCTGAGATGGAAGTTTCTTCCATGATCATCAAGACCTCTAAATGTCAAAGCATTCAAATTGCATAAAATAAAAAGACATAATTTAGTACAAATGCATTATAGAAGTCTGAAGTTCAAGCGAGATTGGTGATGGAGGCATACATTTGAGGATTATCAACCACAGTGACTGTGTGATGCAAGCTCCCTGGAATGAGTGACATTTTCCAGTAAGCTTCCTTAGAAGGTAAGAGAAGAAGGTTTAGGATGGAACCCTGAAGAGGAACCTGTCATGAAAAGGATGTACAGAGAAAGAGGAACATCTTAGAGACTGAGGGATGGCCAAAGAAAGAGGAGGATATCCAGGAAGGTGAGGGAAGATATTTTGCGTAGAAAGGGATAGAGTCAACATGTAAAATGCTATGGCAAAGAAGAAAACGGAAAATATCCACTGAGTTTTCTTATAAAAGTAGAGAGGGCAAAATTCATATAGAAGTGGGTTGAGGACTGAGTGGGAGAGGAAGTGGTAGAAACATCGAGCAGAGGCAAGAGGAAGAGACATAAGAGAAACTAAAAGGGGACATAGGAGGAAAGATTTTTTTTTTTTGATGGCAGAGGCTTGCTCATAGCTCACTTCTGTTGGGAAAGAGTAAGTAGAGAGAGAAAAATGTTAAAGACACATTAGAAAAACTGTGAATTTTTGGTAAGACTGATTTAAATGCTCATATTATTCTTTTCAGAATTATTTATTAATCTGATAGTAACACCACTATTATTGCATTGTCACTACTGGAAACTGTAGAGAACTACATTCTTCCAGAATTGAGTAGATGTGAGAGTTCTAATAAGTGATACAAAATGATCAATATGATGACTCAAGGAGTACAAGATACATGATGATGAAAATAGGGAGCTGATAGAAATATGGGGGTAAAAGATTATGGATGAGAAAATGAGGCAGGGCTTCATTAAAAAAGTTCTTGGTTTGAAATTCTGTACACAGGAGTTATGCATCCGATGGTGTGAAGGGCTATAAGGAAATGATCTGTTTGTTCTCTCCAAAAAAGAGAGGCAAATGTCCTGTATTATTATTTTGCTAAGTCTGAGCTTGTTTTTTTGGTGAAATTCAGGGTCCAATGGACACTGTTATCATTTAGATCTGAATTATTCCCCAAAAGCCCATGTGTTGAAGGGCTTAGTCCCTAATGCTTCAATTATCTATCAGTAGGGCTTTTATGAAACTTTTGGAGAATGAAGGCTCTATCCTCATCATGGGATTAATTTGTTTGATAGATTCATAATTTGGAGTACAGAGAGGTGGTGGAAACTGTAGGCAGCTGGGACATGATTGGAGGAAGTATGTGGTTTGCCCTATATTTTGTATCTGGACCCTCCTCCCCTCCCCTCCCCTCTCCTCTTTGTCTCCATCCCAGAGAGTGTCTCTTCCTCCCTAATGTTCCTCTCACCTGAGGCCCAGAACAATGGAGCCAGCTGTCTGAAACTCTGAATCTGTAAGCCAAAATAATCCTCTTCTTCTCCAAGTTGTTTGTGTCAGATATTTTGGTCACAGTGATGGAAAGCTGACTAACACAGGCTGTTGACTTTTGTTAAGCTTTTGAATAGTACTCTCCATCTCATTTTTTTCTTCTGTTTTTTCCTTATTTTGTAAAATAAAATTTATCATGCATATTTAAGGTCTAAAACATGATGTTATGGCATACATATTAAATAGTGAAATAGCTACTATCAGGAAATAAATCAATCTATATGCCATCATCTACAGTTTCTTATTTTTCTTTGTTTATGTGGCAAGAGTAGCTTAAATATATTTTTTTAGCATGAATCCCAAATATGGCACAATTTTATTATCTATATTCTTTCTGTTATCATTAGATCTCTAGACTTTTTCATTTTAAATATCTTCTACTTGTATTCTTTGATACATATTCTCTATTCCCCCTTCCCAGCTCATTTCTGGCAATGATGTTTGTTATTTTTTACTATCTACTTTTCTTTTACATAACACATATAAGTGAGATCATGCAATTTTTGTTTTCTGCTTCTGGCTTACTTCCCTTATACAATGTATTCTAGTTTCATCCAAAATTGTAGTAAATGACAAAATCTTCTCATCTTATCCATTCTGAGTTGTTTTTATGCACGGTATGAGATAAGCTCCAATTTCATTATTTTGCATTGGAAATTTATAGTCTCCAATTTATGGATGAGACTATCCTTTCCGCATTATGTCCTCTTAGTGCCCTGGTGAAAAATTAGCCATATATGTTAGGATTTATTTCTGTTCAAGTCTTTTATTCTACTGGCCTATGGGTCTAGTGTTTAGGTAGTTTGTGTGTGTGTTTGCTGATGCTACACTGTTTTGATTACTGTTGTTTATAATAAAATCTTAAATTGGAAGATGTGATACTTTTGACTTGTTTTTTTCCCCCTAGGAATTGTTTTGGTTATTTGGGCTTGTCTTTTGGTTTTTATGAATGACTGTCAAATTTACAAGTCTCAAGTCCTCCAATCCACATTTGTCCAATGGAGGTTTGAAAGCTAAATTTAATTCTCCCAGTTCAAAGATATCTCATCATTATATCTACCATAATTGCCATGTATTGTTTTACAGATCCAGGTTTCAACGTAATGAAATTCCTTTGGATTATAGTTCTATTGTTTATCATTTCAATTATAGTTATAAGCATTTGTTCAACTTCAAATATATGAAGCATATCTATATGGCATTATAAATATTATTGGTGAACATATAGAGCAGGAATGGTTAACAGTCTTGTGCTACTAAATGACAAACAGTGCAGGTGTATTAATTTTTGAATGCTACACAGGAAACAAATATTTCTGGAGCATTTATGTGCACAGGACATTGTGTCTCAGGGTAGGTAATGCATTCATTAATTCATTCAACAATATTTGCCAAGAGCTGCCCTGGAAGATGAAAATATTATGATGAATAAATTCAGCAGATCTAGTTGCAGGGAACTTAAAGATTAGTTATAGAGGAAGACAAGTGTTAAAAGTGAGAATAGCTCTTTTATTTTTGGTAAGTTACAGAATGTATCATATTATTTAGTCCCAAATTAATGTAAAATGGTTCATTTTCTTTGTTTTCAGGTAAGTAAGTTAAGACTCATAGAAATGAATTTTTCAGAACAGATGGCTCATCTGGTCAGTGGTAGAATTGATTGGTTAGGATCTGGTATGTACACTAAGGCTGTTTTAGAAAAATAAACAGCTTTGGAGTATTGGTGAAGTTCATATGAATTAACAGTTTTTATAATAAATTCACATTTCATTTAACTTTTCCATAAGGTCCTCAAGGATAGTCTCCAAATTCATCATCATTGATCCAGCATTGATCCATTGATGATGATCTTCTAGTTCAGTAAACTTGGCATTAGAGGAATCAGCAGTTAGGAAAAGATATTTCATATTGAGCACAAACCAGACTTTTTTTTTTAATCACCAGTTTCCTGATTTACTTTCTGATATATTTTCATATGAAATAATTGGATTTTTACCACAAGAAAGATCAATCTTTCAAGGAAGGCAATTTTGATGCATACCCCACTTCAGTAGTTCATCAAAATGTGTTATATGTTAGTCTGCAAGTTTCTTGGAGGAAGTGAACTTCCATGAGATTTGATGGAGGGTCAAATGTTTCATGTAAAAAATTTATCTGAGAGCTACTATGTGGCATGAATGAAAGTAATATCATCATATCTTGAGTACCATAAAAATGCTGATATTTACTTTTAAATACAATTTGTTTTCTACCACTCAACTTAAAAAGGGACAGAGAAAAGAATATTAGTGAGTGGCCAAGTACTAGAAAGAAAATTCACAAAGAGAGCTATGTTAGAAAGGAAAGAATAGCTTTTTCTGTGCAGTTGAAATATGAGATTTATTAGCTGAAGAAGTGGAAGGAGGGGTATTCAAGGTGTGATGGATAACACATTATATGGAGTATATCTTCTGTTAATTGTTCTTTTTTCCTCCAGAGTCTTGAATCAACACTCTTCTCAGTCCTATGTGACAGGTGTCAGCTTGTCATGAGAAGGGCAGCAGGATAGGTGCACTGGCTATGATATCCCAGCAGAAGGTAGCTTATCAGCACCCACAGATCAAACTCACAATTACAGTCTAGTTAATTTTTTTAAAAAAATTTAAAATGGACACAATACCCTTATTTTATTTATTTTTATGTGGTGCTGAGGATTACCAGTGCCTCACACATGCCAGGCAAGTGCTCTATCACTGAGCCACAACCTTAACCCCAGTCTGGTTAATTCTTGATTAAAATCTGAAATAAGATACCCTACACAAAGGACAGGGGCAAAAGATAACAACAGAGAATAATAATGCTGCATTTTTACATGTTAGATATTTAAAATAAATTTCTACATTACTACATTTTGTCTTAAACTCAGTGCAATGAGGAGGGAAAACACCATCTCTATTTTTAGGCAAAGATGTAGCAGATCCAGAGGACTGGGTGACCTGACCAAAGAAAAAACAGACAGCAAGACTATGGTTGAAACAATAATGCCAGCATTCCTGATCTAGTGATTTGCAGTACAAAGAACAGAGTAAGAATAGAAGACTGGTCAGAAATGAACTAAATACAAAGACAGAAAATAGAAAGCATGATTTTATAGCACTGAGGGAATATTGTAAAATATTTTTAATTCATTTTCTTCATAGAGGACATTGAATTTTTTTTGTTATTTGTTCAGGTGAAAGGCTATGGGAAGTTTCAACACCAGTTTTGGAGAGGGCTTCATTTTGGTGGGCTTCTCAGATTGGCCTAAACTGGAATTCATCCTTTTTATCTATATTTCACTTTTCTACTCCCTAACTCTCATTGGAAACACCACCATCATTGCACTCTCACAACTGGACCCTCGACTGCACACACCCATGTACTTCTTCCTCTGCCACCTCTCCTTCCTGGACCTTTGCTATACCACCAGCACTGTGCCCCAGCTGCTGATCAATCTTTCTGGACTCGACAGGACCATCAGCTATGGACGGTGTGTGGCTCAGCTCTTCTTTTACCTTGCTCTGGGCTCCACTGAGTGTGTGCTCCTGGTGGTGATGGCCTTTGACCGCTATGCTGCTGTGTGTCGTCCACTCCACTACACAACCATCATGCATCCCCTTCTCTGCCAGTCCCTGGCTATTGCTGCCTGGGTGGGAGGTTTCATGAACTCTCTGATTCAGACAAGCCTCATGATGGCCATGCCTCTCTGTGGCCTCCATTACCTGAACCACTTCTTCTGTGAGATGCTTGTACTCCAGAAGTTGGCTTGTGAGGATACAGGAGGCACAGAGGCCAAGATGTTTGTGGCCCGAGTCATAATCATTGTTGTTCCTGCAGCACTGATTCTAGGCTCCTATGCACACATTGCTCAGGCAGTGCTGAGGATCAAATCAATGGCAGGGCGCAGAAAGGCTTTTGGGACCTGTGGGTCCCACCTCCTTGTGGTTTGTCTGTTTTATGGCTCAGCCATGTACACATACCTCCAATCCATGGGCAGTTACTCTGAGAGTGAGGGAAAGTTTGTTGCCCTTTTTTATACTATCATCATCCCCATGCTCAATCCTTTGATCTATACCCTAAGGAACAAGGATGTGAAGGGAGCTCTGTGGAAGGTACTGGGGAGAGGCAGAGACTCTGGGTAACAGAAGAAAAGAAGGTTAGTAGTAACATTTCTTGTCAACAGCTCTCTGATATGGAGTCCATCCTGCTTCTTGTAGAGTAGTTATTGTGTAGAAAATAGTTCTCAGTTGGCCCCGAGTTTTATTGTTTTCCTTGTTTGGAAGTTTGAAGGGGAGATCTCTTGAGATGTTTACTTGCTATGATCACTGTGCAGTGGGGAGTAAGTGCTGATTTGTATCTCCACTTTCTAAGGGAATAAGATGGGAATAGGGTGCATCTTGACCACTTATGCAGAATGAGGTTGGGTTCTTGGCATGTCTGAGAACCAGAAAAGGATCAATTCAGAATGACCACACTTTTACCAACAGCCAGATTCTGACATGGTGCCATCTATATGGCACCATGACAAAGTCATAGGACATAAGTTCACCCTGATGTTCTAATTTTTTGTGACTCTGGCCATAATCATTCATATCTCAAGGCCTGTTTAAAAAGTCTCTTACAGTTGTTCCCCTTCTGTGATACTTTGAGCAAATAATTTTAAACAGAGCTACTTCATGAAACAGACCTGTTGTCATTTACCCATTGAAGAAAGAGGTAATGTCAATTGACCATCACTGCATAAAGGGAGAGAGCAATAGCTTATCAGCCTCACCAGAGTCTCAGTCATGCTACTTGGTGTCATGCTGCATGGAGAAGAAATTTGCCATGTAAGATAGAAGAGAACAGAGAAGAAATGAGTATACGAATAATGAACTAATAAGAGAAATTTTAAAATAAAAAAGTACATGTTGTACTCAAATAGAAGAAAATCATATAGAAAAATCATTATTTCGAAGAGAGTTATAAAATAAATAAAAAGCAAGCAAAATAAAAGATTTATAAATATTTATCATTTGACATGTATCTGAATGTTCATTTCTGGGCTTTTCTATATTTCCTTTCTACATATCTGTCTTCATGGTGGTAACCCACATTCCTACCACTGTCATTTCATTCCATGTACTTAAAAGTGCAAGTATGTTTGTTATAAGACCTTTTGCAGTTTTCTCATATTTAAATTTGATTTAATCATCTTTCACTTCAATTACAATAATATTTGCTTAATATTTGAAAACTTGTTTTGTGTAAGTTGTCATTAATTCTGTAACAACATTGAGTTATATTCACTGCCTATTCATTATGAAGTTAAGGTTCAAAAGTTTTAAATAACTTACTCAAGTTTAAATAGAAAATAAAGTGCGAAGGCAAGGCCCAGGCTTCTGCAATCCTAAACCAAACCCTTAGCATAACATGCTGCCAGTTCTATTTTCTGAGAGCAAATGTCATAATGATTGAGATTAGGAAGAAATGTTGGAGAGGTGAGCAGGATGCCAAGATGGTACAATGAAGAAAGGAGTCTCATTAGCAAATGGTTTTTAGAAAACTGGCTCTCTTCTTGCGATGGATGAATTTAGATTCTTATCTTATGACATATATAAAATTAAAAGATATCAAATACCTAAACATAAAATGGAAAACTATAAAACTCTTAGAAAAAGACACAAGGAAAAATCTTGGTGACATTTCATTTGGCAATGATTTCCTGCATATTGCACCAAAAGCCTGGGTAACATTAGTTAAACTGGATCAACAGGACCCTGTCAAAATTAAAAACTTCTGTACATCAAAGGACACAATCAACAGAGTGAAAGGGCAAAGTACTCAATGGGAGATCACTGGGTACTTCCAAATCACATATCTACTAATATATAAAGGCCATCTACAACTCAACAACAACAACAACAAAATTAATAACATCGCTATAAAGAATGTTCAAAGGAGTTAAAGAGACATTGTTCTTAAAAAGCTATGTGACTAGTGTATGAAAAGATGCCAACATAAAAAATCATTAGGCTCATGCAAATCAAAACCACAACCACAATCTACTTATACCCATTAGGTTAAATGCTATTTAAAAAACTAAACATAAGAAGGATTGTGAGAAAATGGAAAAATTGAAACTCCTCATGTACTCTTGGAGGGAATGTAGATTGGTATCATCTCTACAGAAAACAGCATGGAGTTTCACAAAATAAATAAATGAAAGTAGAATTACCATAGGATCCAGCTATTTTTATTTCTGAGTCTATATCCAAAATAATTGAAAGCAGGGTTTCAGAGATTTGCTTGCATACCCATGGTATTAGGTTCTTTATAGACAGGACCAAAGAGAAAGAGAAAGGTGTGTGGGTGAGAGACAGACAGGTGTGAAGGCATTTATCAAGGGAATTTGCACATGCAATTGTGGAGGATGAGAAGCCTCACAATAGGCCACCTGCAAGCTGGAGACCCTGTAATGCCAGTAGGATAGCTCAGTTCAAGTCTGAGAGTCTCCGAACTAAGGAAACCAATGTGTAACTTTCATGCAAGGTGAAGTCATGAAAACTGAGGCCTGTGAGTCCAAAGGCTAGGATGGCTAGAATACTAGTATCCAATGGCAGAAGAAGATGGGTGTCCTAGGAGAGAGAGAGAGAGAGAGAGAGAGAGAGAGAGAGAGAGATTCACTTTCCTCTGCTTTTTAAACTATCTTGGTTCCTAGCTAATTAGATGGTACCTGCTCATATTGAGAGCAGATCTTCCCAACTAGTTTCACCAACTGACATGCCAATATACTCTGGAAATACTCTCATATATCCAGAAATAATGCTTTACCAGTTCTCTATATATTTCTTAATCCAGTTAACTTGACTGTCATACTCATTGTCACAGCAGCATTATTCACAATAGCCAAAAGGTGGAAGCAACCTCAGTGTCCATCTACCAATGAATGAATGAATAAATTGTGTGTGTATATATATATATATATATATATATATATATATATATATATATATAAAATGTCTCATATATATTATATATAATGTCTCATATATATACATACACAAATACATATACACATACAGTGGAATATTATTTAGCATTAAAAAAGGAAATTCTGACACATGCTTCAGTATGGTAGAACTTTGTGAACTATAAAGCATAAGCTAAGTTAAATAGCCAGTCACAATAGTCAAGCACAAATTCTGTATAATTCTACTTATATGAGTAGAGTAGTCAAATTCATTAGATGTAGAAAGTAGAATGGCAGTTGCCAGGGAGTAGAGAAGATAGGGGCTTGTTTAGTGAGTATAGAGATACAGTTTTGCTAGATAAAAAAGTTCTGGAGAGCTGATATATGACAATGTGAATGTACTTAGCACTATTGAACTATATACTTAAAATGGTTAAGATGGCAAATTTTACGTTATGTGTATCTCACCGCAATTAGAGAAAAAATGTAAAATTAGTAACATTCAGAATGCCAATAATAATCATGTCATAGAAGAAATTAGCAATCAATGGATAAAAATCACAAAACATTTCTAAAGAAGATAAAAAAATCTAAATGATACTGAAGATCTACATATTCATATGTGGAATACACTATACTATATAAATTCCTATTTTACTCAAACTAATTCTAATTATTTCCTGATACAATTCTAAAAACTTCCAAACAGGGCCTCTTGTAGCACTTGAATAGTTACACTCTCATGGAAAAAGTAAAGAGTATTCTTAAAAAAAAAACTTTGGAGACTTGGGCTATAAATTATGAAATTACTATAAATCTAAAAATAAAGACAAAAGATATTACTGAAAGGAACATATGATGGAACAGCAGAACAAAGAGAACTAACAGAAACTGAAAAGTTGGTGTATGACAATGGAAAATTTGCTAGGGAAACCAGAGTTGTTCAATAAGTGTTATTCAAACAGATTATCTGAAAGGATATGATAATAATATGCCAAATTGATTCAAAGCCTCAATGTGAAATAGCAAGATATCAAACTTTCAGAAGGCACAGAGAAGAATATTTCTAGGTCCATAACTTAGAGACTCATTTTTTTTTGTTTTAATTTATTTTGTTAACATGCATCAATTGTATATACTAATGGGATCCAGTGTGGTATTTCTGTACAACATATAGCACTCATTGATCAAATCCAACCTTCCTGCATATGCCCTTCTCAATCTGTATTAGTCACTATTCCACTTTTAGGTAGGCTTGCTTTTTTATTTTTTATTTATTTACTTTTTTGGCTTCTACATATGAAGAATATGTAGTACTTGCCTTTCTGTGTTGGGCTTCTTTCTTTCTTTTTGGTGGTACTGGGGCTTGAACCCAGGGCCTTGTGCATGTAAGGCAAGCACTCTACCAACTGAGCTATATCCCCTTGGGCTTATTTCATTTGGCACAATTTCCTTTGCATGTTGCTACAAGTGATAGGATTTCATCCTTCTTTATGGATCAATAATATTCTATTGTGTATACATACCATATTTTCTTTATGTATTCATTTATTGATGGGAACCTAGGCTGATTCCATATCTTAGGTCTTGTAAATAATGCTACAATAAACTTGGGTGTGCAGGTATGGAGATTCAGTTTTTGAGAAGACTTAAAAGGAAAAGATTAATATTAAATGCATGTGGATACACACATGTGCATGAATGCTATCTGTCTCTTTTTCTTTCATGCATGCGTGCGCACGCACGCACACACACACACACACACACACACATATATAAATGAAATAAATAAAATAAAAACCATGCTAGAGATTAGGAGGTATTTGCAATGTAAAAATAAGTAGATTAATATGTACAAAATAAATTAATTATAAAATCTTTTGAAAAGTATAAATATCACAATAAAAGCAAAATACATACTTAGATAATTCTAGAAAAAAATTGGACTCAAAAACAAGTGAAAAAATCCTCAACCTCTCTCTTGATCGAAAAAGTGCAAATTGATGTCAATAAGGTACAATTTCATACCCTTTAAATTAGCAAACATTTAAAGTTTTTGTTTGTTTGTTTTTGTTTTTATTGTTTTTTAAATGACAGGGATGAGAGATATTCCAGTGTTTTATTGTTGAAGATACTTGTATTTTCTGACTCAGATTTGACTGTGATAAACCATCTAGAAAAACTCTTGCC